AAGGTGACTTATTCTTAACTGAACCCTAGCAAAGGTAGATGAAAATGCCACAAAGCTTAAAAAGTGAGTAGTAACTCTTAGCAATGGCCCCTTGTATGAATGCATGACATTGTGGCCCTTCACCAGGTAAAACAGTAAAACCGTCCAGACATTTGTGGTCTTCCTGGTGAATATCTTGTCTCAAACACACAAACACAGAACTTTTTATATCCTGCACAATTTGAGGGCACTGTTGGCAGTGAATGTCAAGTATGATTTTGGTTTGGAAATGACAAACTCTGTTACTTTCACTATCACTGTTCCTATCAAGGCAAACTGGAAGCAGCTTACTGAGATACTTCTCCCATTCCAAACATACTTGAAGGATTTTAGAATAACTCTTAAGAATGAATTGCACTTAAAGGCAAAAACTGTGAGTATCTTTGGAGTTTGAAAGAGACTGTGTTGTTAATAGTGTGCATTTGTTAAGCACATAGAAGCCATCTCAGGCTTAGGAAGACATTAAGGTGGGATTTATTATTGTGGGGTATGATATAGGCTTCAACTGACATGCTGCAATCTATACGTGACTGCTTTTGACCATGTTCAAAGACTGAGCATTGACTACGCAGTGTTTTAGTTTGACCCTATATGAATGCTCTTTGGTTTGATGTTCTTGTTCGCTCGAATACCAGACATAATGCTGAAACATGAAAGAGGCTATATAAAGTCTACCTCAAGGTGCAGATTAAGTGGTACAAGACCAGAGTCATCAATATGCTTGAACAACAAAGACTCATATGGAGGAAATACAGGTCGGACATAAATACTCCTTCTAAAATATAAAATATATGACTCAATACTCATGTACGATTAGTAAAAGGTGCAATTTTTTCTCCCTAGAGATGGAAAATGATCTGAAAATTAATATCCACATGCATGAGAAACTTTTTACAAATCTGGTAAGCATATACTGCATGGCAAAGAGACAAAGACTATCTGTTAGGAAAGCCCCATTCATCTTTCTTTTAATTTAAAGCTAGCCTAAGGAATCAGATATAAATCTAGTGATGATATGGACTGTGTGAGAAAATCTTATGTTCATGAGTGACACCTTGGAATATACTTGCACAAATTAAAATCTAACATAATATTACAGAGAACAAAGTCTTTTGCTCTCTTAAAGCTAGACCCAGCTCCTCACAAGGACAACAGAAACATTCCCATTCACTAGTGTGTGTGCTGGACCAGATCAATACCAAAAAACCAGCACACCAGCTGTTTCTGATTTCACCAATGTGTCTTGGTGGTGAAGAACAGTTGCCTTTTTGACTAAAGGAGTCCCATGACCCCCACAGGAGTGCAAGGGCCCAGCCTGCTCGGGCGAGTCCTGATGCTGTGGGAGTGCAGCGTGGCCTGCCCTGCAGTTCATGCCTTCTTAACCCCTTAACACGTGGCAGTAAGTAAATCCTGCAGAAAAGCTGCTGAACTTGCACATGCAGTAACTTCTAAAGTAAACTCCGTGGCTGCCAAAAAGTGCATAAGTCAGAAATAACTTACAATACGGCAGGTGTTACAGTGCCATAAGGGCATGCCTTGGGTACATTATAAAATACAGACTGAAGTGGTTCCAAGATCTGAGAATTACTACAATACCGACCGTGAGGCTGACATTTGGAAAAATTCCTCCCACCATGTCTTTAAACCACTTTTTCCTCCCCTTGTTTGCTCCGTTTACCACATTAAGATGCCACCATCTTGGGTTTCCTTCTCTGAAGAGGAAATCCCCACTTTTCAGTGAGAAACTTTAAAAGCTTTTAGAAAGAACTGCTGAGCCTGGGCCCTACAACCAGCAAAAACAAGCCACGTGGAAATATGAACTGTTCACAACCTTCAGCTCCCCAAACGCTGGGATTAAGCAAGTCCCGCTGGTAGCCCAAGCTGCAGGCAGCTGTAGTTTGTGGAAAACGTGCACATGGGTCGAAGGAGCAGGGAGTTTTCCCAAGTGCTGGAGGACACGTGTGCATGAAGGAGCCATCTCTGTGCTGATTCTGTGGGTGCTGGGACAGGTCCACACCAGTTGATGAGACCATGGGCTTTTGTCCAGCAAGAACTGTGATGTCTTTGGGGCGGTGATGCCTCTGGACCAGCATTTAAGTGTGAGCCCTGAAGCAGCTTCACACAGGGCATCTGGTCCCAGTACAGTGCGCCAGGCACCGGAGGAGCTCCTGACTTGCATGCGTGGGTCTACAGAGCTCTGCAGCTCTTTGGCCCTTTTGCAAAATCTCACACTCGCTCTTTCAAAGCTAGCAATATTCACAAGAGTATAAATTAGGGCTTTTTTTTTTTTTTTTTTTAATCCTTTAAGAAATAAAAGCCAGTCTTTCATTAAGCCAAAACTTCATCCTACAATGGCAAAAACCAGAAGTTGGGGCCACGCTGCCTAATCTCTAAGCTGAGAGCAGAAGAGCTTGGGACATGGCCATAGGCATATTTTGGCTTCATGGGAGGAAATCCAAGATGGTGGCTATGAAGTGACAAATTCCTGTCCATGCTGTTTTATTTCTGCTGAACCCAATTAGCTGGTTTGACTGCAGAGAGTAACTCCCTCACACATGGCCTCATACTTTCTACATCGGTAGCAGAGATATTGTGGAAAACACTTGCATAAACCTTCTCATTTCAGTTTTCTCTAAAGGTCTATTGAGAATATGCCATGATAAAGCAAATTTTGTTTCCTCAAACCTGGAAATAGTCTCCAGTTCCTGCAAAAACAGTTTTTTTTTTCACTTACTGCTAAGAAAATTGAACACCTCCTTCAGCCTGGGGGTTCACTGCTTTATTTTTTGCTTTCTCAGGGCAGCATCAGTTTGCCCTGATGAATAGGAGAGTGTTTGCCTTGGGGCTAGTTTGAGAAGAGGTTGGGCATTTTTGATGCCAGCAAGGTGGTAGTTTTTCTTCCTGTTAAACCTGCCTCCTTGCCGAAACTCATGGTATCTCATGACATCTCTCTTCCATCAGAGATCTGATGGTGGTCTTTTCTCACACTTTTTTTCTCACATTGAAATGCAACAAATCTACTATATCACAAAATATAGGCACAGCTAACACAGGCTGATGGTTCCCTTCTCACACCGGATTTCAGCTTCATTCAGCTTGGGATCGATAAGAGCAGTGGCCTCCCTCACACAGAGATACCATCTGTTTTTGCTCCCTCTGCCCTGCCTCTCTTTTTTAATTTGCCACTGTGCCAAAAAAATTACTGTGAAAGGTATTTGGAAGCTTTTCGACTTCAGCATTTTTCAAGGTGTCAGGCTGGGCCTTCCCCCAACAATAGCAATAGTTAACTTAGCCAGCTATCATGTTTTAAGGTTTGTTATATTTTTAAAGAGTTTTTTTCCTTTCTTCTGAAATGTGCCAGAAATATGGGATTTCTGCTCCATGCAGTGGTTCCCCTCACCTTTTTTTCTTCTTGTTTTTAGTGGGAGAGTCAATGAACAACAGTTTAAGAAGACGCAGAGCAAATAGTAAGTGCAAATCAATGAGAATTTCCCAGTTTTCTGCTCAGAAAACGATGTCTCATTGTTTGCTAAACTACGGGGCTTTATTTTCTGTTCCTTGCAGAAATTCAGAGACAAATTCCCTTTAGAGCAGAACAGTTGATATAGCTGAAAGAATGGCAACTGAATATATTCTGAGCATACAGCCTGCCCAGCTTAATGAGACTGTGTCTTTCACTCAGAGACTAAAAGGCAAGGGGCTATCCTGTGACTGCAAGCAGCTGCATACAGATGTTGATGCATTAAAGTTGCCCACAATTGTTTAACTGTAAAATGAGAGTAAATCCATTTTAGATTTTAAAGACTTTCTTCTTAATTCCATCCCATTTTCAGTCATCCTGGGGAATTTTTGCCCTTCCTGAGCTTCATGAGTCAAATGAGGCGAGCAGGACGTTGCTTATTGTTCATCTCTGAGTAACTAAGGGTGAAGAAAGGTTTCATCATCAAGCAAGTTATGAGAAGAGCTTTGGTTTCCTAAGATTTCACTGTAGTCAGTTGAGAGAGATGGCTCAAATTGCAGGTATGTGAGAGCACTATCTGGAACGGATCTTCTCCATGAGTTTGAAAGAAAAACAAACAAACAAACAACAACAGCAACAACAAAATATAATGAAGACAGACATAGATAATATGCTACAGAAGGAAAGGCTTCTTCTTGTGATTAGAAGTCATTGCTGTAGGATGAAAATCTCCCCAGCAGATTTTATAAAATATGGAATAAAGTTTCAGGGAAACACAAGAGGCTATTTTAAGTCCTCTATTCAGGCTAAGATTAGGGTCTTAAATAAGATGCTTCATGTGAACAGATATTTATGCACTTGCACAGCATCTGTTGATGTGCAATTCTGTTTTGCATTCAAACTAGCTCAAAAAGAGTGTTTTTATAACAAAATTGTGCACTCACACATCAGCAAAATGCATGCAAAAAAAAAAGTAATCTCTTACTTCAGTGTGGTGCAACTTGCACTGAATTTGTGTTTAAAGAAGTTTTGCAGGTGAAAAAGAGCAGTTTATTCTGGGATACTGCTGGAATTATGTGTCATCTGACCTGGCAGTTCTGGGACATTAACTGACATCATGTATCAGGTTAGGTTAATAATCCACCTCTTGGTTCTGCTTGAGCAGCTCTAAGTGCCCGGGAGATCAGTGACAAAAACGGAGTCTCGGAGGGAAAGGAATAGCTGCTGCATGACCAGTACAGGGTGGCACTTGCCCTGCAAGAGGCACCGACCTCATGCCCGGAGCTGCTGTGACTCAGAAGCCACATCTAGAAGGCAGCACTATTGCTCCAGCTCTCCGGGAATGCCCTCAGCAACCAGAGCAGCCTTGGATGGCGAAATGACAGACACTAGCAGCTTGGACAGGACCTTAGCAGAATGGCAGAAAAGCATTAAGGGTATTAAAATGCCTGCTTGTTTTAGCAAGAGGCTCCAAGAGACTGGAGAGACTTTCCCTCACACCAAACAAGTTGGGACTTACCTAGTTGGCAAAATGATCAACAAGGGCTCCTTTGCCAAGGTGATGGAGGGGCTGCACGTTCCCACAGGGGAGAAGGTAAGCTCCAAATGAGAATGTACTGCTCACTAGCACTAGAAATAACTTCACAGTTACTTCTGTCAGAGAATTTCATTTCATTTTAAACCACAATCTATGCTGTGAATTATCCTCTGAACCTCATCCTCGTAAATTAACCCCATAAATTGAATTTATTGTTCATGTATAATCAGTGACGTGCAAATATGCCCTTGAGTGCAAGTGTTTTCACAATTATAAAATGATACAGACAACAAAGATATCGTCCAACTGAAAGAAGACAGCATAAGAGCATAAAGGCAATTTCAAATCTGCTTTTTCCAGTAATCTTCACTGTGTAATTAAGAATATGCACCTGACTTTTAAAGCCACAGACAATAAATACTGAAAAGTCAGCTATTCCAACAGCAATCATTTACACAACAGGACACAGATACCATTTATTATGTCTCATTCAGTTAGGCTAAAAAACTGTATCTGTGGAAAGGTGGATGACTATTACACCTGAATTGTCTTTAGTCTTTTTTTTTTTAGTTTTTTTATGACTTCAGTAGCTTCCTTATTTGAATAACCTCGCAAATTCTCTATGATATCAATTGATATCTCTGTAATATCAATTATCAATGCCCAGCTCAAAATCAACTCCTCTCACATGTCAACTTAGTGTCCATTCTTTTGAAAATAAGTCTATATTGCAAAGGTCAATGCAGGTGTTTCCAATTTGCATATGTTCTATAATTTAGGTAGCCATAAAAGTCATTGACAAGAAAAAAGCCAAGCAGGATTCCTACATTTTAAAAAATATGAAGCGGGAGCCACGGATACATCAGATGATTAAGCACCCTAATGTTGTTCAGCTATATGAGACCTTGGAGACTGACAACTCCTATTACATGGTGATGGAACTGTGCCTTGGCGGAGACCTCATGGACAGAATCTGTGACAGAAACAGGCTGGCAGAAAGGGAAGTGAGGAGGTACACCAGGCAAATTCTGTCTGCTGTGGAGTATCTCCATTGCCACGGGATTGTTCACAGGTACGATATTTTCCCCCTTCCAAAGAACAGACACAAAAGAAAGTGTTTTAGAATGCAGAGAGCTTCTCTTCACAGGTTGCATTTCTTTAATTTTTCCATATGGAATAGCAATTCAAAAAAAAATCTGCATCTCAGCCCATCTTAATCGAATGTTTTATTGTTAGTGGTAGAAGATTGTTAACCATTCCCTGCAGAGTAAAGCAACAAGTCCAGGAGAAAAAGCAAAGGAACATAAGAAATTAATATTTTGCGTTGATTACCTCAGAATTAGCATCAGTATTTGTATTTCAGTACGGCTATGCATATAAATATTGATTTCATTTGGTTAACCAGGATATCTTGAAATAAGTAGGTATAGATCAGGCCAGGCCAGGAAGCGAGCAGTGTCTGAACAATCACAACCCACTGGCTGCGTGGAGGAAACCAGCCCACAACTCCAGATCCATAGCAGGTCGCTCCCCTTCCACATCAGCTTTTGTCAGATTACAATCTCATCCATGGTTAAAAAAAAAAGAACTGTGTGGTCCATTCAAGGAGAACTCTTTTTCTCCCTCCCACCAGAACTCTGAGAGCATATGCCAAGAGCAGTGGAATAAGGACTGCCATTTTAAGCAGAAGAATAAGCAAAGAGTAGTTTTTCACCAACATTATTTCTATTTTATTAATAATTCACAGTCAATCAGATCTTTAATTTTAAATACTAAATGCAGTCATCAAGAAAACCCTCAGGACCTAACAAGTATTACAGTTGACTCTATCATTACAGCAACCATGGAAAAATAAGCTGTGAATGTGATTGCTCAGCATTTTCACACAAGTGCTTTGTGTGGTGTATTTGAAACGCCTGCAATTCAGCATTTAATTACTGTGTTTCTTAATTAATAAGGAAGGGATAGGAAAGAAATCATCAGCATCAGGCCTACAGAATTTAAAGAGAAATTAAAAAAAAAAAAAAAAAAAAGAAAGAAAAGAAACGAAACCCAGGGGCTTTACCCGTTCAGCCTAGGCTGACACCCCAGGTTTACTAGTTCCCTAGTTAGTCTGTTTTACAGCATTTTTTGGTGCCCATGAATATAGCATTTAAGTTCTTCCCATGACAGCATTCTTCATGAATTTCACAAGCCCTCTTCCCTCCTCTTTGCCTAGAAACAACTCTTCCCAGGGAGCAGGGGTGTAGCCTGACTTCTTGCCCGACTTTTCTCTTTTCTGCTGGTATTTTTTTGCTGGGAAAGCTTTGGGAGAGGGAAGAATTTTGCTGCATGCCCTGAAAGCGGTCAGGTACTAAACAGTCTGAGCTCCTCCAGAGACTTGGTGCCCTCTCTAATCCCTCTAACTGAGGGAAATTCATCCCTGGCTCTGGAGCACTTTGTCCTAGCTTTGCAAAGTTGTATTGTCCCAAGAAGCATTGCTCTCTTGCTAGACTGCTGCATGTCCCATGACTTGAGAAGTGCTTCCTCATTCAGGTCCAACTGCAATGATTTTTGGTAACTCAGGGTGGAGGTTAGAAATTATGATGATAACTTGGGGTGTACCCTCTTCTTAAAAGAAGACATCAATGTTTACAGCAGGATGAGCACAGAAATAGGAAACTTGCTGTAGAAAATCAATCTGATTTGCCTTAGAAAATCAATCTGATTTTCTCACCTATGCATTGCATCAAACACTACTCTTTGCTTTAGCTGTGGTGGCTTGGGTGGCATTCAAAATACTGGGAGTAGTTAGCTGTTTCATGCTGTCTCCAGCACCCCACAGTGCTCAGGATCCGGCTGGAAAGGGTGCTGGTTCTCTGGATCCAAAACCACAGCAGGTATCGTGCTAACAATTTAACGAGGTAGAAATTGTGCTGCTGGAACCTATGACCAGGGCTTCTTTATTTTATCAGAAGAAAAGTGCTTGGTGATTGCAGTCTCATTCCTGAGTGAAAAGCTTAGAATTTTGCTAATTTACTTCAGTTTTGCTTAGAAGGGACATATGAGTGTTGTTGATTTTAGTATTGAGATATGTCTTTGAAAAACAGCATTTTCTATTGGCTTAATAATATATTTGCTGAAACACTGCCCCCTTTCTTAATCATTTTTAGCCTAAAATAATATTGCTAATAGCCTAAAATAATTGGTGTAGGGTAGAAAACCCTACACCATGTTTTTACAACTATTTTGTTTCTTGAGTTTTCCAAATAATTTTCTTTTTCAGCATTAAAATCAGCAGAGATCCATCAAATGTTTATGGATTAAATTAAGGTTGAGTCTGCTCTCTGCAGTAAAGGTACTATATTTACTGTCCATGTAAGACCACACTTTATTTTCATGCTACAGTAGCCAAAATCAGCAAGAAGCTGGAGAAGCGATTCACTTGCTTATTCACCCAACTCACAGGGTTTTACTGTCCCAGATAACTCAAGGTTCAGGCATGAGATCAGATTCAGCAGCTTCACAGCCTTACTCACACTCATCAGCTGGGCTCTGCTAAGTATCCCTATGGCTGCCTTAAGCATGCCCAAATAGTGAGGTAATGCATCTTAGCTTAAAAGCCTCAAATAAAGACATTTAAGCTCAATCACATTACCTTGCAATTGAACTGGGCCAGCACGTGCACACAGCCAGCTACCAGCTCTTACAGCTGGCACATGCTAACTTGCTAAGTGACACTAACTTGCTTATATACACCATTCCTACTTTTTCTTGGATATTTTTCCTGGATATTTTCTCCTCTCCCATATAAAAACCTCATATATCTTTTGGAATCACTACTGGACCAAAAACCTGGAGAAACATCAGAAGCTGCCCTCTAGGCATTTTCTCTAGAGTTCCCATGGGAATGAGAAAAATTTCATGATGTTGCTTAAACTTACCCCATTTCTGGGAAAGTTTCCCTTGGAAGAAAGAACAAACTGTATCTCTGATACAAAATAACTTCTGACACTATGTAAACTTTAATAGTGATCATTATCAGGTTTATCAGACAAGAAAGCATACATTTTTATTAACTGCATGAGCGCTCAGCCCAGTCTATAGAACAGCAGTTGTGATCCAAAAGAACATTATTTAATTGTAGTGCAGTAAAAGTCATCAGGGTGCACTATGGGGTGTTAAATCCAATGAAATGACAGATTTTCAGTGCCCCGAAACATGTCTAGTTTTAAAACACAGATTAGGTTATAAACAGTTATCTTAAATTCATCTCAGAGCACTAGCTTGTGTGGGTACTCACTTATTTGCAACATTAGAAAACACTCTACTTCTTAGATACACACTAAAAAAATTACCAATTTTCCCATCCAATGTTCCTCGTGGGGAAGATTCCGTGTGCCCACACCCTGATTTCGCTGGCGGAGGATTCCCTTGTTTCGGCTGCCGCTTTGGGCACTCCCCACAGTGGAGCAACATTGCAGCTTTTGGTTTTAATTTGTAGGGATATAAGTGTTCCCACAATAAGCAAGCAAGCAGTGAGCCAGCTAGCAGCGCTTCTCCCGCAGCTCTGAATTCCGTCCTCCTCTGGAGAGCTGCCGGGGGGCTGACACTGGCTGGCCCTGTTTACAGGAATATCACTGTGGAGAGGTCTCCACCTTCGGTGTGGCCATCCCTGACCTGGCTTTGCCATATACGTTCCTCCCTTCACACGCAAGGCAGGTCTCGCTTTCCAGTTCCTTCTGTCACTCACAGCTCTGAGGTCCAATTTCCTCAGAAGGAAAAGAGAAATATTCAATGGTTCTCAAGCAAATGCCGAAACGCTCCACATCCAAATATACAGCACTTGTTTTTTGTTTGTTTTTAGAGCAGAATGCTTTAGTATATAAGTATATTTTACCTGTATCTGAAGTAGCTACTGTAGTCAAAATAATTAATAAATACTAGCTATTTTAGAAAAAGTGTGTTAGTAGAATAGACAATTCCTAAAAGGAACAGTCTCTTTAAAAATACTCATCAAATATTCATTAAATAAGTAAAGTTTCCATTTTCCAAATGAAAAACTTCAGGAAAGAATGAAGATCTTGTTACAATTGCAGGCAGAGCTATGTAGAACTATTGTTATTATTTCAATTAAACTTTGCTAAAAAAATATCTGCAAGTCATTAGCTGGGGCATCAGACATCTTAATGTTTGCTTTCTGTCTTCATTTCAGGGACCTAAAAATCGAAAATTTTCTTCTTGATGAGAACAACAACATCAAAATTGTTGGTAAGTGCACACTGTCAGTGAAGCTCATTTTCACCTTCTTAGTTTGCGTAGCCTTCAGGAACAATGCAGTACATTTTATGAGTGAACTTGTGATTATTTAATCAAAATATTCTAGTTTTTTTTTTTTTTGGAATAAATACTATAAAGTATAACTTAACAACATGGGTTTTTTGAGCTCTAACTGAAACGTATTTTTAAGAGACCAAGGCAAACAATTTTGTCTACTCTTCTCCCTTGTGTATTGTTGGAGAAGCAAGAAACAATTACAGCTTTTATGTGTAGAAAGCTGTTCCTAACAGAAGTGATTTTTGGACAAGGAAATAATCTTTTGAGGTGAAACTCAGGTATGAATGTATGCGCTTCTTTGGGGACATTACTCCAACCAGATACCTCATCTTTTGATGTGTGGAGAAAAAAAAAAAAAAAAGACTCTTTTGGTCACTAACAGAAACCTTGCCACAGTTCTGAACAAGGAAGTAAACATTTATAGAAATGAGGGAATTTGCACCAAGCAGTTAACACAGCTCAAATAAACATTAATTTTATTCTATAGAAACCGCACGAAAAAATTCTAGCAAGGGAAATTCACTTTTAGACACACCATGTGTTTAACCCACTGTTTCCCAAATTTTTAAAAGCTTAACACCTCTGCGGAAAAAAGGAACCAACTCTTCACCCCTGTTTTACAGCCAGCCAGTCCTTCACAGTCACACCTTTCTCTTCCCTCCCCTTGCACACATGTAGAGCAAAAGGCTTAAGTTAGCACATTTTACCTCTCATTTACAATGGACTAATGCCGTAACTCATTAAGACACCCCAATTCAAGTTCAAGCTGAGTTCCTGTACTAGCATGCAGTCATCTGAAGTGAACTAAAAATGCTAACTCAAAATAAACCCAACCGGGAGCATAGCCTCATGAGCAGGTAACTTCACTCTCGCTCCTCTGCTCACTCATGCCACGTTTATTCAACCCAAGCTGGCATCCACAGTTGAGATGTCACCAAGCTGCATGGCTTTGGTCAGGAAATACAGAGAGGCTCCAATTAACTTTACTTGCCTCCTCTTGCAACTGATCTCAGGAGACTTCCTCCTCCTTCTTCTCCTGGGGGGCAAATCATGTTGATTTGTGTGGGCCACCAGCAGCGACCATCAAACCAACCTGCCTGAGGTAGCAGTGGCTGCTCTGCCACTCTCAGAGCAAGGACCATGAGCAGGGTCATAGGGAGCTGTTCTGCATCTCATGTCCATTCCCGGCTTCCTGGCCCATGGCTGACAGTGGATGCCTCTTAGCTGGGAACTGGAGGTCAGATGCACCAGGTCTCCCTGCTGTGCCCACCACCCATGGTGTGGTTCCTCTTGTGGGGCTGGCTCAGAGGTTCACAGCTGGCAGTCTTTCAAGTAAATCCAGTCTAGGAGGTATGTTTTGCAAAGGAAGAAATGTTGCTATGCTGGTCAGCAATCAATGCAAAGCTTTACTCTTTTAGTTTTTATTTAGTTCTGATTATATATTTACATATTTGTGTATATATGTTATTCAAAAGTGGCTGTGATACTATAAATGCTGTGAAAGGAAATATAGTGCCTGTTTGCTGCACTCATAATATTGTTTGCACTCATAATATTGTTGCTTCTATGTTTTTCTCTTATCTTTGGCCAGTTGCTATGGATAAAAGATTTTGAGAGGAGACTAAAGGTTTTTTTTTTTTTTTTTTGTGATCCACAGATTTTGGACTAAGCAATACTGCAAAGTTTGCGGGTCTCTCTCAGGAACTGTTAAACACACAGTGTGGAAGCCCAGCCTATGCTGCCCCTGAGCTCCTTGCTCACAGAAAATACGGCCCAAAGGTGGATGTCTGGTCCATGTAAGCAGACCTAAAAATATACCCATTGAAACACCCTCAGCACTGAATGGTTTAGACAAGATCCTGGCCTAAATGGATTAGTGGCACTCTGCTTTGGGATGTAAACATGGAAAACAGAACTGTATGAGAAGTTGCTTAAGAGCAGGATAGAGCAAGACAAATCTTCAGCTGGACTGCAGAGATTCAAAGTCTCAGCAGAGAGTCAGGGGAATTATATTAACAAAATAGTGATTCAGAATATGTAATTATTGAACTAGTTCTCACAATTGGCATTACGAGGAGCCCCTGTTAAAGAAATGTGTATGTATATTATATATATAGACATACACATATGCGTGCAAATACATTACCTTATTTTCCTAAATACCTAAGGCATGGTTTCTGACAGACATACTATATATTAGGGTTTTGACCTAAGTATGACTCTTACACCCCACCTTCCTCTGAACTACAGGATATGAATGGTACAAAAGTAAACTATGAAGGGACAAATTCTGCTGAACTATTTCAGTGTAAATCTAGATTTCAAGAGTGCTATTCTAAATTCATCTAGACATAACAAAGATGAAAAATGCCCAGACGATGCTGTCGGCATTTGTATAGTATTACATTTATTTCAAATTTCAAATGTCTAAAGAAGGCAAAGCAGCAATCTTAGAGCCTTTTATTGGGCTCACTCTGTTAATAAACCTCACATAACAGATCAAGGGCTATATAAAACTTACATAAGGCCCTTGGTACTTAGCACAGGCGTATTCTGTGTCTTCAGCATAAAACATACTTACAATTTATCCTGAATTGCTCACATTCTCATCATGGAAAAAGTGATTTTGATGGCCTATAATATTAATTATAAAAATAAGTTACTGATACAAAATAAATAAAGGATACCAGGTTGACCAGTACAGTGAGGAAACACTGACTTTATGCAGCGAAACTGATAAGCAACTGTTATGACCAGAACTAGAACCCTATATTCAGTCAGAAGCACATTCAGAAAACCAACCAGATACAACTGCTATGCAATTAATGCTCTGCTGAGGAAAGAACAGTGCCTGTTTTGCCTGTTCACAGCTTTACTGCCTAAGATTTTAAAGATTCTTTGGAGGACTGGAAAGTGATTAGCTTTCATACACTAGCTGAATTAAGAAAACAGCTGCTGTATTCAAACAAAGCCAGATAGTTCAGCGGGATAAAGAAGCAGTCTGTTACAGCCAATAAATTTCAAGTTTAACATACCATCAAATTCCAGATACAATTAACTATTAAGCCCCTTGCTGCTAACTAGCTACATTTTGTGCATTAGGTATCTGAAGAAACTTTAGGGTTACAGCTCCATCCACTCCCCAAGTTCCTCTGCTTTGGGTATTTCACCATTAAGGAGGCTGACAAAAAGAATGATTGCCACTTTAAAGCACCAGTCATGTATATCATCACCAATTTAAAACACATCGTAGTGTCCGTAGTGTTGAAAAGACAAATGTGTTTGATGTTGCAATGACATTGGAGATCCATTTGCACTGTGTGCTGTTCTGACTCATCAGAGAATACTGAGGGACTTTCCTATCACTTTAACTCCACCTACATTTAGCCCACGTTATAGAAGTAAAATCCTTGCTACGTCAGTCACCTGGAAACAATGCCATTTCCTTGCAGTATTTCCTTAGAATCACTGAGAAACTTTCAGAAAACAGGTTGTTCAAGGACCAAATTTATCAGAAGTTTTGGTAAGGTAAGATGAGATTTTACCTCACCTAATTTTTACTATATAACAATCAGACACCTAGGTCATACCAGTGAGTTAGTGCGTGTTATTGTCCATGGAGGGAGAGAGCTCATCTCCTAAAGTGATTAATGTAACCTAAAATAGCTGCCTAACACTGGAGAGGACGGTCTCTCTCAACACCTGTGTTTCAGATGGTTAAAGTCATCATGGGAAGTCCTGGTTGTGAGCAATGAAACATGTTTACTCATAGGTATCTAGTTCAAATACAGCCTAAGTCAACAAAATCTTCTATCCAAATATCTTCTAACGATTTCTCAACTGTTCAAAAGCATTAAAAAAGGCTGTTGCTGTGTATGCCATGAGCTGACGTCTGTTTCACGAGTAACATCATCATCATGTACATTAATGAGTGAACCACATCTATTAAATTAATAGATGAATAGCCTGAACTCCTAAAATAAACATATCTACTGAACTCAATACAGAAATGGCAAAGGGCCTTGAAAGCAGCTGCTGTTGTGGTGTTCTGGCACAGCTGGAACAAGGAAGTACCATGGAGAGTGTTCAAGGAAACCTCCCAGTTTGCAAATCCGGATAGTAAGCAACGTTGTCTGAAGAGTGTTACTTCTTCAAACTGAAAGGCAGACATTTGTGAGGTTTGCTAATGGCTTTTAGCAAACTACTAGTCTTTCACAATAGTTCAAGCTTTCAGTCTTTAACCAACAGCAAACTGTTAGCAAATGAATGCCTTCTAGGCATAAGTCACACCTAATTTAGCAATCTGTACAAAGGCAGGAGGAACTGAATTAGTATTTGAAACAGGATCTAACACAGCAGTCCCAGCACTATGTTGTCACTCAACCTCTAAGCTGAAATACTTTATTCTGGAGGGCCAGGTACCCTACACTGACACTCCAGTGAGCTTATTTTATAAATAAACAGCAGGTTTCCACTTTCAACACTGCAGGTTTTCCACTCACTCACTAGGCGGTCTTTTTTTTTATATATACCTACCATAAAACTCTTTTCCAGGGTAAAATAGCATTTACTCAAAGAAAAAAGTATAAGCTGTTTATTCAGTACAAATTGCTGCTAGAGATAATTTGTAACCTTCCTCTTGATACTGAAGGCAAATACCTGAAACCTGACCTATAGCTTTCTGTTTTATTTTGTTTATAATATACATATTTTTATTCATTAGGATTATCTAGAGCTCTGATATGCTTTCTTTTTTCTCCAACAGAGGTGTTAGCATGTTTGCTATGCTAACTGGCACATTACCTTTCATAGTGGAACCTTTTAATATCAAGCAACTACATCAAAAGATGGTAATTGGAGAAATCAGCCCTATTCCATCAGATATCTCCCCTGGTAATGCACTCCAATTTTTATAAAGTATACTGATGTATAAAATGTCTAACACATGTGATAAGGTGAATTTAACAACAACATGATCTTTTGTCAGTGGACCTTTTCCATTTCTTTTTGTTTTCATTTAGAAATAGGTTTTGTCTGCCTTAAGCAGGTCCTCTTTTTCTCACAGGCTACTAGGAAGAGAGGCCTCTTTTGAAGACCACAGTTTTGGTTCTTATTTATGGTGGGCATAAAATGTGCATCACTTTTACACAGGCAGTGTAGTCACAAAGTAAATGAGAATGCTGTCACATTTGGTGTGGGTATAAAGGACTTGGCAGGCACACTTTTGTGTCTTTCCAAAGGATCCTTTATGAAAATCTTAGGTCATTTTTTCTTGAAGATCTTCTTGTCTTCTCAATACAAACAGAATCCCATAAACTCTAGATAATTAAAAATTGGGAGTGTTTTTTTGTGAAGTGTGTGCTCATATTTTTCATGAGAAATAGATTCTACATTTTTCATTCAGTTTTGCTAACTATCTTTAGTAAGGTGCAGTCTAACAAGTCTTTTTAGAAAACTCGCAAAGACAACTCAACTAGCCTGAACTCTAGCCTGAATTACAGCCCATGTCTCTAAAGCCAAGAAGCAACAGTGTATATAAATTTGGGGCTTGCAGTCCCAAAGTTCCTTCCATAAATCTCAAAATGTTGTTCTTTATAATAATTCCCATGAACCACAGGTTTATTCTCTATTTGCTCTCCATGTGGACTAGCATCACATCTGTGTAGCACCACAGTTTTTGACCTCTTCTTGCAGCCATTTCAAAACACACCACTTCCTTGACTAAGTCCCAAAACAGAGCAGAAGGACGCGTTTGTCTAGCACGAGTTCTACCAGCATGAGTTCAGATCTCCCCACCAGTATGAACAGTTTTGCTCTGACATTATGCAAGAATGAGCTCAGGATCCAAGATCAGCTGAAGTGGCTGCTGGCAGTCAAGCACCGGGAAGTTGCAGGGAATTCCAGATAATGCTAGTTGCATCTAGGTTTAAGCTATTATATTAGGAAAATGTGATGATGTAATTTCTTCCCCGTCACCCTCAAATGCTATGAGAATGTCTACCATAACTGCCCAGAATGTCTGTACAGTAGTCACTCATTTATCTTTCTTTGGAGATAGATTATCAGATATAAATTCCATTTTTCTATAAGCCTTCCATAGCTGCAATTATTGCATTTCTCTTTTTCCTAATTTATGCTATTGCTATAGCTTCTACTATTGAATGCATTGATCTCTGCTTTTCTACGTAGCCCACACAGTTAGTAGAAGATTGTAGATACTCCATTGTTCCCTTGTCCCTCGGGAATTTAGTGAGAGCGCAGGAGCAAACAAGCTTTGCAAACTTCCAATCTAAGTTCTTCTGAAGGAGATTACAAATGAAAGGAGCAATATGTTCCCAATTTAATGCTTACTTGCCATTTTGCTCATTTCAAAACATCCCCAAGGGATATTGAAGAATTTGGTAGAGATTTCCCAAGGAAGAAAAAAAAAAAGAGAGAGAGAGAGAGAGAGAGAGAGAGAGAGAGAGAGGGATTTTATGCAGTATTGGAACTGAAAGGCATATGGGAATGCTTGAACTTTCTCTCTCCAAACTCCAGGAAGCTAAAGCACAATATGTCATCTGAGCACCAGGGTGCATCTCCCTCCCTAGATGGAGAGATTTATCAAGGAGATTAGTTTCTTCATACAGGTAAAGTTACTCCAGGGTAGTCAAGCAGCACAAGGTTTGTGTCTCCCTCTCAGAGCCTTGATGATCTTAGCAAGAAAAAACACTGCAATTGCTATGGATGCCATAGGCTACATTTGCAAGGGTAAATCACACAACTTGGGTTCCCAGCACTAGCCCTGCATCCCTGGCCCATAGCATACATCTCAACATGGTTTGGCCCATGCCAACTAACCTCTCAGGAATGTCTGGGGGGAGCAGGGCCACCATAAGGGTCTTAAGAGAAGATCTGGAGCCGTTTTGCAGCATCAGTTCAGAGACAGCCTTAGCGATGGGACTTTAGCTCATGTTCTTAACTGGAGAAGCTGGGCACATGCAACACTTCTGAAGAAGGAAAACTTTGCACTGCCTGAATAATCAAATATTACTGCCGTTAAACAAGCCAATTCATGTGAATGCTGCACAGGAGCTGTAAACTTCATGCAGTCCTTACTTGAGCCTGATCCTGCTAAGAGACCTGAAGTGAAAGAAGCAATGAAAGACACATGGTTGAACGAAGGCTTCTCCAGGAAGCCACCCTACACTGCTACCTATAAGAACAGGTAATGGATTTCACATGTCCTCTGTAGCACAGATTTGGGGATTTTAGTTTTCTTGGTGAAGAGTAGTGCCTGTTTTAGAGGTTTTTGTTTGTTGGCTTTTTTGTTTATTTTTTTATTTTTTATTTGCTCAGGGCTATTCCAAAATGCTAGAAGGCTACTCAGAAAATATCACATCACCTTTTCTAATCATATGTAATTTCAGATAAGATATTTTGGCTTATGTGATCTGCACCAATTGCAATGTTTTCTACAAGCAACATAACAGTTTTTCCTACCACATCCTGTGTGATCTACTGCCAGTCCTAGTCTGGATTATTAGAAATTTATGTGCAAATTGTGCAAATTTCTCTGCGAACTGTTTGCCATTCCTTTTTGCCCTTCTCCCCTCCTCTCTGATATATCTGCTTCCATTATTTATATTGAACTTTGAAAAGTCTGAAAAAATATCTTAGGAATCTTAGAATCTAATTAGATGGTATTCCTAAAATGCCTTTACTGGATTCACTCAAGTGGCCTACTTCTAAAATAATTATCTTTTTAGCATAACTAGTTTTGTTTAATAATCTGATCGACATAAAAATTTCCTTAACTTCTTTTTTATATATCCTTTGAGATTTTCCAGCCTTTGGGGCTCTTCCTTTCTTCTCACACACAGGCACACATTCTCTCTTCATTAAGCCATTTGAGACTACTGTACTGACAACCAAAACATACACACTTGATTAAAATGAGAAAATATGGTTTTCTCTCTTTTAATTTTTCAAACTTAGCCTGGGTGGGCATCCTTTCAGAGTAATAGTTATATCAACAAGAGAATATTTAATAACACAGTTACAGTGCCTCAGCCCAGCAGTGAAGTTATGGAGGATTTTTTGCACAACTGTTGACTGCATTTTGCCTAAATGAGATATTCAACCTATTTCACCTACATCACAAGAAGTGTATGGCCAACTTCCTGCAATTGTGCCTCGATGTATCATTTGTACTTAAACACTGCTTCCTAATTTTTCAGACTTTGCCCCAATGAATTAAATCCCGTTGTTTTAAACTACATGACAGAAATAATGGAGTTCAGTCTTTCCGAAGTTATCAGAATTTTAATAAATAACAGACCATCTTCTGTCATGGCATCTTACTGCTTATTGCTGAAGAAACTGCTCAGGTACCACAGAGAACACAGAACAGCCCAGGTAAGATACCAAGCTCCCGACAAGCAAGACTTGCACCGTAGACTCTTATGAATGTTGCTGTATCCATGGAAGCACCATAGCTTGGAGACATGACTAGGGAAACAATGGTAATAAAATTACATACCTTTGCACAGTCTGAGAAGCCTATATTCTGACACTCTCAGAAGTGATTGTTTTAAGAGATTTTTCCCCAAAATAAATATAACCTTCTTAACAACTAATGAATTAAAGGAAAATTGGGCTGCCAGTATAATGGGAATGATTTTTTCTTGCTTTACATAAAATATGGATTGTCCAGTAGAGAAAGGAAAGTTAGCATCTCCGTGACCTTGCCATGTTTTCCTTTTCCTTTTTTTTTCTGAGGGGGGAAGGGAGGGTTGAGGGAGGGGAATTTTTATCCCCATATCTTTTGTTCAGTGAGGAATGAGATCGGAGAGTACAAAACTTTTAAAAATATATATTTTTAAATTATAGTAATAGCTGGTAAGGCCTCAATTAGTTAAAAAGTCTGTAAGCTTTTCTTTTACAACCGTCTCCGCTAAGGAGTTCACAGCTCAGTCATAAAAATTTTGCTTCGGGCAGAAACTAGGCAGACAGGAAGCCAAATTCCAGCTTCTAACGCACAAGTGCAATGGGAAAGATTTCAGCTACAAAACAACACACGTCGGCGATTAGAGTCTCGCCCAAAGCCTTCACCCCAGAGAAGCTGTGCTTTGAGAAGGTCCAGTTGACTCCTCTAGAAATTATTCAGATGAGCTTGAGCAGATCCAGATCTCCATCCCAGCACACAGCCCCAAGGTCACAACAGCCTGTGCAGTGTTTGCACGCAGAGCCATAACTCAAAAATATGGGTTGGGGAGTGTGTGCATGTTCGGGGGGAGGAGGCTTTCCCTCGCATATGTGATTTTCTTCATGTTATAATTTTAAACTGCTAAATCATAAGTCACTGAAAAAGAGCCATATTGTGAAGACTATTGACTCTGGATATCAAGCTGATTTATAGCCCCTAAAGATCTAGCATTCCAGGCAAGTGGTAGCATTTCACGTCTCCTGTGACCTTTTTCACCATCCTACCTGGGTGGAATAGGGAAGTGATTGTGTGTATAAAGCAAGTTATAAGCTGAATAAGGGGCTGTGTTGCTTCCTGCCCCCCAAAATGCCCTCCAAAAGCAGAGCCAAGCTGAACTCAAACCCAGACCAAAAAAAAAAAAAAAAAAAAAGGTGATGAGATGGCGCCAACTTTTATGTAAAAGAGCACGGACTATTACTTTGAAGTCCCAATATATATATTTCCCAGACAGGTTGGAATGGCAATTTTGGCAGAGCAATGGGAAAAGAAGACAAGTTTAGCAAAGGAATAGTTAGGGTTTTCTAAGATTTAAACTCAACCCAAAACAACCTACGCAACTACCAGAGAAAGAGAGGAGTGACATTCCAAGTCAACATATCCTAATAGGAATGTGTCAAGCGCAGGAACAGGCTACATGCTCTGGGGTCCGTCCAGCTCCACGTTGCCTCTCTCCATTTCCAGGCAGCTCCCAGACTGGGCTCCCAGTTCCCAGCTCAGCTGCTGGGCAGTAGGGCTTCCTAACTTGCCACTTGGGTGGACAGGACCTCCCTTTGCAGGCTCTACAGGGAAACAACTTCCTAGCTTTTAAGAGGACAGCTTTGCTAAGAACCAGACATACAGGCACAAGCAAGATGCCTCTACTAGGCAGACTGGATGCTATCATAAATTAAACCTTCTAATTTCTGTCAACTAAGAATATCACAGGAAGTAGAAGAAGAAATTAATCTCATCTTTCCCTGTCACTGCATGTTTGCTCCCTTGTGTTTGTAAATTCTGCTTTTAAAATCATTAATTCAAAGCCTGTTACTAGTACCATTTGGAGAATATTGTGTTATCAGATAGACCTCCCCAATACAAATATTTCCCCAAAGAATCAATCTAAATAGTTTCTTAATTTTGCCCTCCCTCTCCTTTCCCAGTTATATGCTTATGTTCTACTAAAAATAAATTTTCTCCCTTGCCAGTAGTTAGGCTCTGCAAATATATGCAGTTTATCTTAATCACCTCTTGGTTGCTTCTCATTCGAGCTTTATGAACAATTAACCAGTGCAGTCACTCCAATCTGAAATGAAGACTGTGCGACCACCCTCTGGGCAATTGCTCCAATGTTCAATAACATTTCCATTGCCCAGAATTTAGAGGCTGATATGGAAGAGGGGAGAAGAAGAAGGGATATTTGTCAAAGAAATCAAGTGAGATCTTGTTCCCTGATGCTCAATAGTTTTCCACTAATCTCTGCCATATTCCTTAGCAAAAGCTACTTCATGCACATACCTTCACAAGGGCAAAAGGTAGCCCTGCAGAGTATATAGGGAGCATATGCAGAGTCTATAGGGAAAGGGAAAGAAGGCAACTCCGGGGTGCTGAAGGGGACCCCACATGGGTGGCATGAGGCCAAGAGCCAGAGCCAGAGCAGAGCCCATGTGCCACAGAGCCCTGAACCCGAGCAAGCTGTGTAAAGTTTGCTCACTGAGAGCAAGGGGGAAATTTCCCATTTTTTGTTGTTGAGACCATATTAATGCTGCTGAAAATTAACTACAACAGCATTGGTATTTGATATTTGCATTATAAATGATTCCAGGAGTATTTCAGAATGCCTGTACCGATGCTCTCACCTGTAAAGCGCCAACTATTTGCTGTTTATTGCTAGCAGTGTGTGATCAGTCATTAAATCACGCAATATTGTTTCAGCCCTCCAGATCTTGCAAATATATGCATCTGCTTTATTTGCTAAGTCTATGAATAGTTTAAATGAACTCAATAAGATAAATTGTGTGCATAAAATTAAAGCATAAAAAGGAGCATTTGCAGAATCTGCATCCAAAAGGAACAAAACAAGTAAGTAACAATTAACAAAGTCGCAGGTAAAGCAAAAGTCCCTGAAAACAAATTGCCGTTCATTTAAATGATCTGTTTTGGATGCTAAAGCATATGATATATTCTTGCCTGCATATGAAAAGAGATATTCACAGCAACTAATATTTTTAAAGGGACTTGAGAAAAATAAAAACCTCCCCTCAGCAATCTGTAGAGAAAGTTTACATCTAGCTACTCTAAAAATTCTTCCCCAAAAGAACTGAACATGGCCAATGTCATCACAAACAAAAAAAGAATTTGCATTCATGGCAATGCTCATAAATAACACACAGTAAATTATTCTTCCAACACAATCAAACTGAAACACTGTTTGGAATTCAAACGCATATTTATAAACCACTTCATTCAACTCATTCCAAGAAACTGCATTGTGATTTTTAATGCAATACCAAAGAAACATATAAACTTCTGTGGACAAATTTTCAGCAGAGCTTTTAATACACAGCTGCAAAAAAAAATTGCATGCAAAATATTTTTCATGTACAAAACCCCGTGTGTTCGCATAATCAGTATGAGTCATTGTAGCCTCAATTCCTACTTTTACACACAAGTTAACATTTGTACATGCAAATAATAGTTTTTGTGGATGCAAACAGATGTGAATCTCATTCTTCTGTACACAATTAGGAAAGTCTGCTGAAAGCTTGACCCTGAAAAAAGTATAAGATCCTTTCCATGTTCAAATTTGAGCCATAAGTCATTGGATAAACTTAAAACACAGCCTGTCCTTTTATGCACCGTAATTTCTCCAAGCAGTGTATTTACATTTTATGTGTGCTGTTGTAGAAGAGGGAGCCTTAATGATTACAATTTGCCATCCAGAACTTTATAGCTAGTCTTTGCAGAAAATAGCATTTCTGCCAAAAAGCTTCCTGCCCAGGTGCTTAACCAATTAGCTCTTAAGAGGTCTGGCAGTAAAACCAGTCATGGCAAGTTTTCTGATATACTGTATATAAGGTGACAGCTTGCAAAATGTAAGATGAAAATTTGTTTTCTTAACTAGCAGTGTGTAAAATCCTGGGAGACTATTTGATTGCATTGCCTAAAATGCTTATGACATCTCAAATTCCCAATTGATCTAGCGTGATTTTAGCAATATGTTGTCAACTTAAACATATTGTGTTTCTTTTTATAAATATCTCTAAAATAATTTCCTTAATTGGGATTGGGTTTTGCAAATATGTGGGGGTAACCCCATGAGTTTGAGGTTTGGGGCCCTTTGAATTTTTCCAAACATTCTTGCTAACTCACAAAATACATGCAAGGTTTCAAAAGTGCCTTCTCTCCACAAATTACACTCACTTTTTTAATGGCATGTTAGATTAAAAACATGTTTTTTTACAAGGGGAGTATTTTGCTATGCAAAGAATAAAAGAAAACCATCAAAGACAAATAAACTGTAGTAAAGCAAATGGCTTCTCTGATGCTGGAAGAAAGAGGTTTGTATTATGGAGTGAAGAGACTAAAACTCACTATAGGCACTCTATGGTTCCATGATTCCTTGAATAGGTGGGTCTGTTAAAGGTGATATTAAGAACCATGTAAGAAAGTTTTGGTACTGAACAGGAATATCCATGTGGATACTCAATGCATTTCAGTAATTTAATTTTCAGGAACGCCAGACCCAAGGGAAGAGGCTTTTGGCAGTTCACCATGTATTGTAAAAGGGGTGTTATTTCACTGTGCAGATCTTGAATCTTTGCAGTTTTGATGTTTGAGACTCCATGTGCATGAGTCCTGATGGGACTCAGAGAAGTTGTATCATGGGATAGACATATGACCAGCATACAGGAACGCCTCCCAGAATGTTTATAATTGCATGTGGGAGGAAGAGCCGTGGTGCCATAGCAGAAGAGAGGCCCAAAGCTCAGACTTGTGTGAGGAAGCACAGTTACCAAACCACAGCACTGCAGCATCGTTCTTACTCCTTGAGTACACATTACATATATATATATGTGTGTATATATATATATAACATATGTATATATATACAGTGAGCAGATAACAAGTAAGCCTACCCTGTAGGATACCCTGTAAAGCCTACGTGAAATAGATATGTGAAATATATGTGAAATACAGGTGCTGCCAGCAGAGAGGATGTCTTCCACTGAAGAGGTTTCTCCTAGTGAGTCTGCCTTTCTCATGTGTGGGATAACGTGCATATGGTGCACAAAATTGTAAAGCTAAATTTCATGCATTTAGTGGGAGGGGAGCTGCAGCCCTGTGTTTTGGTCAAGAGTCTTCCTGTGGGAGTCCTCTTGGTGTGATTCCACTGCAAAATCTGCTCAGAGATGGTCTAGCCCTGCAGGGACTTCCTCCTCTCTCAGCAGACTGGCCCACAATAATCTTCCTCTTATCCTGTGGGATGGCTCACAACATCCTACAATGCTCTTCCTTTGCAGCATGAGCCCAGCGGTACTCTGGTCTGCCCTGGTATCCATGAGCAGACTGTGTGAGCCACGAGCCTTGGAGAAGTGCTAAGGGCTCTCCTTGAATCTCACTCTGCTCTTCTGTGGGTTTTCACAAAAACTTGCTCCCTCTGGCCTGTATGCTAGGGTGAAGGTTTGCCAGCCCCTGCACCAGCTGGATCTCAAGCAAAGCCTCCGGTATGGCATCTGCCCAAGTGAAGAGCTGGTGTGTGCAAATAAGGTCTTGTGTGGAAATAAGGATAATGTGTTATATTTCTATTTCCTTTAAAATTCAAAGTTCTTTTTTTGTTCAGTACTAATTGTATTGTGTCCGATATTTTGCAGAGGGAAAACAAACTGGAAAAACACAATGACAATCCTGATAAACACCTGAGTAAGGAGTCAGAAAATCAGATTTCCCAGAAGGCTGAAATGAACAACCTGGGAAACCTCAGGAATTGTGACAATAAAGCATTTCCTTCTGTACTAACCCTGGCAATGCCAGATGCTATTCAAGAAGATGAAATTGCAATTACTTTGGAAAATGAAGAAAACTTGCCGGAAGGTAATGTTCTGAACTAATGCTCTTGGTACCTTACCTTGAAAGGCTTCTAGCATAGCTGCCTAGGATAAACAGCTATAGAAATATTTTGCTTTGAGATGCAAACTACTTGAGCAATCGTTTCCCAAACCCAAGTTTGGTGATTGATTTAACACTGATCAGACAAAAGAATGATCAGAGGCTGAATATCTGATCCAGTTTATATTTGGTAGATACTGATAATAGTTGTTACATGTCATTATATGAGCCTCTGCAAGCCACACTGGGATGGTGCTAGCATTGCTAAGGCAATTTCAAGAATGCTTGAAACACTTGATTTCGTGGTCCAAGAGTCACAATTCATTACATTCAAGAAGGGATTGCACTTTCACCCATGGCCTCATTTTACATGACCATAGATTTCATTTTAAAAAGGCAACATTTCATGCACTTAGCAATAATCACAAAAATATAAAGATGCAGGGTAGTAGATTGTCAAACTCCAGGCCTGAATTTATACTATTTCTGCTCCAGTTAATTCATATATATTTTCACATACGTGGCACAGTTAAATCATTCTGATTAATTGTCCCAGAAGCATAAATGAATAATGGTAACTAAAATTAAGCCAGGCAGGTTTATGCTGAAGTGCTCATTTGAGATGGCTCACCCAGACAAAAAAATGCTGATTGCCTACCTTCTAATCACCACTTTAAAATCTCTGTTCAAAATGGCATCATATATCAAGACCTATTTTTATTTATGCTTTTACAAGTGCTATGTCTACAGTTAAGATGAAGCTAGTTTGATATTACCATGTTATTTCTTTCTTATATTACCATGTTATTTTTTTCTTGAAACTACCATCTCAACAGAAGATGATCTTAATTATTTTACATTCCACTTTCAGTTTCCAAGTTTGCAGATAGAGAGTTGGTTTACCTTGGACCTCCTAAGTCATCAAGCAAATGTGTGCCAAGTGAAACCATTTATCAGCCCCTTACGCAGTTTCAGGAGAATGTGAATGATTTTGAGGACTTGACTGAGGTCAGAAAATTATGTCTTTGGCAGAAATCACCACCTATTCTAGCAAACAACCAAGGTCTCTCTTCAAATCTCCATGCTAAATGTTCTGGAATAGCATGTACAAGCAAAGTGCCTCCCCAGTCCCTAATGGAAAATAGAATTATTGCCAGGAGTCCTTTGCCTCATCACAACATGAGATTTAAAGACCTTCTGGAAGCAATGGATGACAACATGTCAGTTCCAGCATGGTGGCACTCTGGTCAAGAAGACACCAACTTGGTAGTGATTGACTCTTCACAGCACTCCACTTTGCCCAGGTTACGACCAGCTGCCCCAAAAGAAACCATTACTAGCAGGATTTCCAGGCTGGGAACATCGCAGCAACATACAAGTATCTCCCCTCTGTTTTTAGTTAATGGTTCAAAACCACCAGCCTTTTCCATGTGCCGACAGCAAATACTTACAGGCAGAAGTTGGAGGCAGTCTAAAGAAAACCCAACTCATTTTTTCAACAGCAAGACCAAGGAAAACTTCATCCAACTCAGACATGCACATAAAGCTACAGATCTAAATCTTCCAGCTTTATCCTCACCATACCAAAACAGGTCAGAGAAAAAAGCAGAGACTTTAAGAATAAATTTTGAATAAACAGTGCATTAGAAGAAAACAGGAGGAAGAGGCAGGAAGGAAGCAAAGAAGGACAGAAGCAGAGAAAAAAAGGAAGGCAGGACAGATAAATCTTAAAATTAGATATTTCTGAAAACAAAGAGGGATGATAAGATTTCAGCTGTGCATCCCATGATATCTGTGTCACACATCGAGCTACAAATTTGGTGGTGTGTACCTAAGACACAGGGTAGACACCATTGTAGGAAGGGGAAGAGCATCCTGCATACCTGGGCTCAGAAATGGACACTGCAAGCAGAGGATGTGATTCTAAGTATTTGAATCATTGCATGTATTACTGCAAACTTGTGTCACTTCTGCTTCTACTTGTACGGGAAATACTTCTGGTCAGGCAATTTTCATTAAGCTGTGAATTATGCACATAATGAAAAGGGTACGTAATGCAAAAGGTAATGAAACAGTAATAAAGATGGAATAGTAGATTCTTTTTAATTGTCTTAATAAACAAAATGGTCATGGCACTGATCTTTCTTTTTATGTATTTCTTTGCTTTAACTGTGTGCTTTTTAGCTTATGGAAACCATGCAGCCTAATCCCCCTTAGGTCCAGAAAGGAACAAATCAACACATTTTATCTGTAAATTTAACAGCTTAATTAGGTCTGCATACTTGTAACTGTGTGCCTTTACAACATTTGTCCCTTACTATTGAAAGCATGCGTTTGCTTCCAGTTTCAGTGATTTATGCTTCTTATTTAGATTTTCATAGTACCACGCTTTGAGCCTGCTTCTGTCCTCAAGCCAATTTTACATCAGTTTAATTGCCTTAATTGCAACAAGTTTGAATTACATTGCCATCTCAAGAGAGGTAAAGAGAGAATAAGACTCTCCATATTTGAAATTCCTTTTTGGTATTTGGAATTTTTTTTGGAATTCCTTTTAAGCTCAAACAGAAATAAAAGATGTGCAAAGCATTTTTAAGTAACACTAAGCACGTCTTGGGTACCATCTGTGTAGTCATGTCTATCACTGATTTCACAGCATTGCTGTTGAATAGATGACCACAAACTTTGGTGAGTTGAGTATCTTGCTTTTCTTCACATTTTGTCTCCAATTATAAACCAAATTTCTTTGCTTCCGTATGTTTCAAATACTGATAATTCCATTAGAATTTAATGACTTAGATTAGCAGAATATTTTGTTCCAATATCTCTTCAGTTCTGGTCCACTGAAAGTACTGAATAGCTGTGCTCCTAACCAGTGTCCTCCTAACCACTGGTGTAAACAAAAAACAGCAGCAAAAAAANAAAAAAAAAAAAGGCAGAATTCTATGAGTTAAAGCTCATAGTTTTTATCTGACAAATACTGGGATAAACAAAATTTTCACATTTATGAGGATTTTTAGTCTCAAGATATAGTGATATCAAAAGAAATCAAATTCATGGTCTTGTTCTATCCCCCATTTAGCTCCTTTGCTTTGGTGAAATCAGCTTAGGCACTTCCACAACACTAGCCAGCTGGTTTGCCATTGCTTATATGTGCTGAAACAGCTACAGCGGAGATGTGTCCCCAAGCTATCTCTCAAACAACCTCTGAATAATGGACTTGTTTTTAATTCGGAACATCTTTACTCACCAAGTTGGTAAGGCAAGTTCCCAACTGTGCAGCACAGCTAAGCAGCTGGAGGGGAAAGAACCTGGAAGGGCTGTGGGGATAGGAATTTATTATGGCAACTTCATCACCAAAGAAAACATGATGTGTGACTTTGTCCTGTGAGTGTGACCACAAGTCAGAGGTGCAGCAGAGCTAGGTGAAAAGGTTGTTGCCTCTGGCCATTGCTGTCTTCAAGGGTGAAGCAAGGTATACAGTGAGAAGTCAACTGGGTTTGAGGGGCTGCAGCTCCATCCAATGTGGTGCATAGAAATACCCAAGTCTGCTACTTGCACCACTGCAGTGTTTTGCCTGCAGCTGTTTTAAAATCATCCAGCTTTAGAGAAAAAAATAGCTTTATTCAAATAAAACACATTTTTATAGGCATCTGAGGATATTATTGAATTTCAAATTTACTAGGAAATAGTTTGGATGTTAAGAAAGAAGAGTACATAAAGGGGCCATCAGCTCTCTATCTGCATAAACAGTGAAAAGAGCCCCCATTCACAGCCCCATTCCTCGTTCAAGTAGAGTATCCTTTCCTGTGTGTCCAAAGAATTACCTTTTCTGTAATATTATTTATTTAGATGGTGCCAAAAACATGCAAGGAAGAATTAGGCACAAAATAGAAGTTGCAGAGACAATAGTAAAAAAGAATCACAAGAAGACTGGTCCGTGGTGTAAGTTTAGAAGCAAAATGCCTAGCAATAGCTTTTATGAATACCTGGGCTAATGAGCAGCACAGAGGCCATTCAGAGTAGTCACAAAGTTCAGCACTATAAAATCCAAAACTTACAGATAGCTGAAATATTTTCAGATCGTTTTCCTCAGAAAATCTGATTTCCTCAAAATTTGGAAATTATTTATATCTCAAGCACATTTTTACTTTTGAATCAACTTCACAAAATGCTTTTTGTTTGAGTATACTTTTTGAAACAAATGGTTTCAGCTGTAAGTTGACGTTTCAATTTACTGTTTCCTTTCAAAATATTGAAATGCTTCATTCCGACCATAAATGTCTCAGATATTTTTCTTCCACATCATTTTTTCTGAGAAAAATTTCTTTCCTTGACACTTTTTAATATTTTGTCTTTATCCCCTACTTCCAGATGACAATAACATCAAAATACTATAAACTATTTTTTTGCTGAGTTGAAATTTTATTTTCAAACAGCTCCACCGCCATCTTATAGCTCCTCCACGAGCTCTCAGATAAAAGAGAATAACAGGCGCTTATGCTTCTCCTTTACCAACTTACTACAGGCGAGTCTGTATAAGTGCGAGGCAGACTGTAGCCACAGGAGAATATCCATTTCCCTTTGCAGCACCTACTTAAAATGAAACCCAGAAAGATCTGTGGGAAGCAGCCGAGCTCCACAACTGCATTATGGAAAAATCAGCTTTTCCATGCAGAGCCTTGGATTCTGGCACCTTCACCCTAAGCCCATGATGGCCTCAGCCACATCGGTGCAGCTAAATCTCTGCCATGGCCACAGCAGAGAATGAGGCTTTCAAGCAATAGAAACACTCACAAAAAAACTTATAATCGTTCTAGTTCCTTTCCTATTTTTCCTATCTATGTGATTTTATCTCTGGCACTGGTTTAGGAGAGAGCAAGGGGATATTCTGCCTTGTCTGGGCCTTTAGAGGTCATTGTACAAAAGTAAGTGTTTCTTCAAACATACCACAGCTGAGTATGGCTTTATACATACCATGCATAGAGAAAAGAGATTTTTCTACTCTATTTTTCTTCCCTTTCCACACACTCATTTAAGGGCTAGCTTGAACCTTGCTCACAAGTTGTTCCAACATTGCTGAAAAAATATATCTGTAGCTAGCACAGAGCTGCCATGTTTAAACTGAAATTCCCATCTATCACGTACATTAACACTTGGAAATAAAAGCCATCTTGTCCCTGAATGGGGGAACGGATGAGTGTGGTTAATGGGTCAATGCCATAAACGCAGGTCCCAGGTCATGTGCTGGGTTTGGAAGGGGCAGGAAGCAGAGTGTGTTATAGCCGATAATGCAGCGCACGACTATGGAAACACCTCCAGGCAGCCAGGCCGCGCGGGTGGCCTGGGCAGGGAGATGCTGCCAATATTTTAACAAGTGGCTCCCACAAAAACTTCTCCCTTCAGCAGGTGATAAATTCATGCTTCGGGGATGGGATGTCTGTAGAAAGAAGTGAGGAACTTTGGAATCCACCCTTTTATTTAAAAATATAAAGGGGGGGGGGGGGGGAAAGCTCCTAAACTAAGGAAGGGGACATCATTGCTTGGCAAGAAAACGTAGGTTAAGATGCACTTGGCCAGAAATGCTCTGAGTCACTGCTCTGAGCAGTGTTTGACCACTGTAATTTATGTGGGGGGAGAGAGGGGAGCTGAATGTCTTGCACATGAGGCCCATGGCGCTTTGCTGTGGCTCTCTGACAGAAGGCCAACTCTAGTAGGCAGCAAGGCAAGGTGAAGTGGAGCCCCAAGCCCTCAGGGCTCCTCTCGTTAGCCTGGTAGCAGAAATTCAACAACAATATCTCAAAGATTCGGCTTCTGAAGAAGCATTTAGGATGTTTAACCACACCTACAGCAGTCCTTTCTACTAAGAAACTTTACATAGACTCTGCAGAGGCCAAAATTGGATTGTCAGGTCCTTCAAGTGAGCTTCTATAAGAGGATCCTGATATTTATACAGTCTGTCAATGCAATCACAAGAGATTCCCAGCCCTCCATTTCATAGTTTTTCCGTTTATATGTAGGAAATAGCACCTCTTAATACAATCTTGTTTCTGAGCCATATTAATAAGTTCAACTGCTTTATTTCACTGTTCTGCTTTTTAAATCACAACTGTTTTCATGTCAGCAAAAAAAAAAAAAAAAAAAAAAAATTAAACCACAGGAAATTCTGGGGATGAAGCACAAATATTCACTAAGAAAGCAGTATAGGAAGCAGAATAAAATTTATATTATTTTAGAAAAAAAAAAGGTTAGTGGTTTTTATGCTACACTCCCAATTTCATCATTCTTTAAACATATAAATGGACAAAATTAATAATTTAGCACTCAGAGGAATTTCTCCTTAGCCTCGGAGAAAAAAAAAAGAGAGAGAGAAAAAAAAAACTGAATAATTCAGATGTTCTGACATTAGATAGCCTTTGTAATGCTGACCCACCTATGCTAGGTAAAAAGCTGAAGAGAGATTGCAATGACTGAACTATTCTCTCTCAGCCTCTCACATTGCAGCCTATGAACAATGAAACTCTGCAAAGCAGAAGCTCACAAAAATGGAGAAAGCAGCTCACATTCACCTACTGTCTATGCCAGCAAGATGATGAGAAAAGGGAAATAGGATCATTTTGCTCAATCCTTACAAACGCAGTGTTAACACAACAGCACCTGATCCGCACCCCATAGAAAGCAACTCCTTGAGTTTCCCTAGACTTTGGTCATAGGATATAAGCAAAGTTTAAGGAATTTAAAAAACACTTGCAAAAACCATTATAAGTGTAAATTGATGTTTACAAACCTAGAATTGAGTCTGAGAGATCAATATATAAACATATATTTTCTTTTATAAAACATCATATGTGTGTCATATGTGTGCCAAAACAATTTATATATGCCAAACACATAACATAAATATCACCTATGCATCTGAAATTACATATTATCATCATCATCATAATAATGAATTACTCCTTTCTTTGGCCATTTTTCCAGGCCTAGTGGTTATTTTGGGTTAAAATTATACAGAGAGATGCTATACAAAAATGTGAGGTTGTGAACTGAGTAAATATAATCTTTTTTAGGAATAAATATATGAGATTTCTGCTAGGACTCCTGGCATAAAAAAACCCAGCATAATAATTACATAGGCCCTTCTGAGCAAGTCCATCATATTCCTGGCTGCAGTGTTTACTCTGAAGTCCCTCCCACAGTCATATTCCAC